CTTTTTATGTTTTCTCTTTACCAACAACTTTTTTTTCTTCTCATTCGTACATCCACCTTTAATTTAGATGCATGATACTTTGATAGCAAAAATAGTATAAACACATTAGATTAAGGTTGATCTCCAGAGGTGCCTACTTTCTACTTCGGATCACCATATATGTAAACGACTAAATTCTATTTATTGTATATTTGAACGAACTCAATGTCCCAATCCAATGTTGGCTAATAATGAAAGAGAACATAAAATGATTTTTAAATTATATTAATATCTTATTAGAAATTTTATCATGTGTGTGTGTGTTTTTTTTATCTCGTAGTTTTGGGCTGTTTCCTTAAGAGCTAAACCAACGCAATAAGGGACAGAGACTTTTGGCCTGTAATTAGATCTGGTGTCTCTCGCAATGACCAAAAACTCTTACACTTATTCATACAACCACTTCACATACCTTCGTTATAAATGATATAAAATTGTAGTTGGAAACATAAATATTTGAAAAAAAAAAATTGTATCTGATCGAACCATAATCAATTATATAAATACTTCTTAATTTCGTTTATTTAAAACCTTACTCCATGATCCGTATTATATAATAACAATATCAAGTTAAATTAAGTTTAAAAATGTAGTCTTGTATATTTAAGTTACGATGTACGTAAACCAAGTTCTTCATATCCTAATCAAATACTTATTTCTCAATCATAATCGAGTAATTAAGACACTGGAGAATATTGAATTCTAAAGTTTTCACGATTCTATTTTTGATATGTTGCGTTTACATAAAAAAACATTAGTACAATAGGTTCCAACAAAGTAAATATTTCATTATCATAGTGTTTTATACTTTTATTCATTTCTCTCACAAGTTCATACAAATATTTGCTTATAGTTCACATTTTCACGAAAACTACTTACTACTCACTTCCTTTTAAATCAAACCCCATTTGAGAAAATCTTAAAGCATTCCTTCAATCGTATTCTTCCTGAAAAATCTTCAAAAGAAGAAAACACAAAATGAAAAATGGATCAGGGAATACGAACACGAAGCTAATCCTTGTTCATCCTTACATCCAAAAGCAAACAAGCACGACTCGTTTATGGCTTCTTGCTTTTGTCTCTTTCTTCACCATCGTTTTTCTGCTCACTCTCCTCTACACTAGAGACACTATCCCTTCCAAAAATACCTCCGTTGCTGCCGCCGTAGCCGCCGTCGTCACCGGAGGATCATCATCTCCGACGATGATCTCTCACCCCAACTCCAACCTACCAACAAGTGTCATCAACGCATTGCTTCACTACGCTTCAAGATCCAACGACAGTTTCCACATGTCATACGGAGAGATGAAATCAATCTCCGACTTCCTCCGACGTTGCGCTCCGCCGTGTAATCTCCTCGTCTTCGGACTCACACACGAAACCCTTCTATGGAAATCGCTAAACCACAAGGGCCGCACAGTCTTCGTCGAGGAGAACCGATACTACGCGGCTTACTACGAAGAAATCCACCCCGAGATAGACGTTTTCGACGTTCAATACACGACCAAAGCTCAAGAAGCCAGAGAGCTCGTCGCGGCCGCGAAAGAAGCGGCCGGAAACGAATGTCGTCCCGTGCAGAATCTCCTCTTCTCCGATTGCAAATTAGGTTTAAACGATTTGCCTAACCACGTTTACGATCTTGATTGGGATGTGATTTTGGTGGATGGGCCACGTGGCGATGTTAACGAAGGACCGGGGAGGATGTCGTCGATTTTCACGGCGGCGGTTCTTGCTCGGAGCAAAAAAGGCGGGAATCCGAAGACTCATGTGTTTGTTCATGATTATTACAGAGACGTTGAGAGGCTTTGTGGAGATGAGTTCTTGTGTCGTGAGAATCTTGTCGAGTCAAATGATTTGCTTGCGCACTACGTGTTGGATAAGATGGATAAAAACAGCACCAAGTTTTGTAGTGATCGTAAGAAACACTCTGTTTCTGCTTAGAAGTGACGTACGATACACGTCATGCATTGCTACGAAATATAATAACATTTTTCTNTCATTCATCCAAAATCAATTATTAATACCAAAACTCGAATTATTTCTAGTCGATCTTTGAATATTCCTTGAATAAGCAAGCACACAAAAGATTTCGAATCTTTAAAAAGAGTCTCTTTGTAATAATTACCTGAAATTTGAATTTGAAATTGTTAGTAAATATAATTATTGTTAATCTTAGTTTTACCTGAAATTTGAATTTCAAATTGTTAGTAAACGGGGAACGATTTGGGGAACTTTGGTAAATTTTCTCAGTTGACTTTCTCCAATCGCCGAAAGCTGGTGAGTATTTATTTTCTTCTCTCGTTGTATTTGAATTTAGCACATATATGTTTAGAAATGGAATGTGTTTCACGATCTGTTGATTATAAATCCTAGTTTATGGGCAACTCTATAAATGATATCATTGAGTTCTTTCTAATCGTAAGACAATTATAGCTTGATCTCTTTCTAACAGATGTACGTTTATCTCTAAAGTATTAAAAATTAAAAGAGCTCTTCATGCGTTAATTTCATGTCCCTACATGCGGCGGTTGATTAATTGTTTTTAATTTTTTGTTTTTTAAATTTATTATTACGAAACCGGTTACATGCCATGAAGTTAGTCATACCGTTTATAAAAGCCGATAACAAGTAGAAAGAGAAGGGAACATAGTGCTTAGAATGATAATACCTTTAGCTCTGTCCACCTTGGTTTCCACGTCCACGTCCCATAGACTGACTAAGTATCTCTTTAGCCTTTGCTAATAGTTTAACAGGTCCTTCTCGGAAGATTCGTTTTCCTGAAAGTGTCATAAGTTCCATCGAATCCGTTTCTATGTCCTATTCGGATGAATCTTCATCTTCTTCCAAAGAGATCAACGAGGCAAACTTGTTAGAACCTAAGTCGGGCTCGACTATTCTACTATTTTAACTGAATTTGCTTCAGCATTTGTGGTAACCGTTACTGATAATTTCCTACCAGACTCCAAAATAGGAGACTCAATAGTTTCATTGATGGTAATCATGGTAGGAGCGGATGGAGCATACATATTTTCAAGAATCGAGATTATAGCTAATTAAATATCATCAGTTGTTTTTATCTGATAATTATATATTTATTTCAAGTAGTGCGTTTTGTCTGTTACCAGAGGGTATGTATAATATCATACATTATAGTTTAAAATAGCATCATTTCACAAATACCACAAATATAAAATTAATTTTTAAGACTTTATAGTTTAAATTTTTTGATTAGGGTTAACTACTGCGAAATTAGGCCAGTATAGTTTTATGGGATAGGGTTTGTTTTGAATTTTGAAATTAACTTTAGTTTTGTGGTATTTAATTTGTGGAACATTTGAAAAATGGTAGGATTTGTTGGACATTTGAAAAAAGGTGGTACTTTTGAAAGCAAAACTTTATTAGTGGTATTTGTAAAAATTGCCCGTATAGTTTTCAAAGAATCAAGCATAGTTAAGATCGCACAGTTGGATTTACACGATCTCGTATTCAAATTGAAGCTAACTCCTGTATCTGATTGAACCTTTCATTTCTTTTAGCCATAATCAATAATACAAATACTTCTTAATACGTATTTCGTTTTAAGAAAGAAAAATTTACTCCATGATCCATATTATATAATCAAGTTATAGTCTACCAATGTTCTTTTATATTCAAGTTACGACGTAAACCAAGTTCTTCATATCCTAATCAAATACTTATTTCTCAATCATATTCGAGTAATTAAGACAGTAGAGAATATTGTGTTAGAGTTACGATCATGATATGATCATGATTCTCATTTATTGTAAATATATATGATTGCTCTGTCACTACGTACATACCTTACATTGACTCTTCTAGGACATTCTACTCTCTTGTATAAATTGACTCATTGTATCAACTCCAAAATATATCGATACCCTAATTTTTTCTCCCTCCCTTCTTCTCTTCGATCTCAATACTCTCTTCTTTCATCTCCAATGGCT